TTTATTCACACGCAAGTTACAGACTCGTCACGACATGTGCTAGCTTAAATTTTACTAATGGAATGTGAATTTGATTCAAAAAAGTACTAGCATGATGCGGGTAAATGAATACCATGTGAAATCATCGATTGTAATATGATCCAGATATTTTTTATTTTTTATTCCATAATTTAGTGGATCAACTGATAATTCTGTTTCGAGATCACAATTTAAAACTAACTGTAATAAATGATTGACCAGCTTGAAACGACACCTTTTAACTACGAGTTAATTACATTTTGAATAAATAAGTACTCATTCTTCTGCTAAAGTAACAGTAGGAGTGTAAACTTGTCAGCATACTTTGCGGTTGCTTGTAGTCACAAAATGCTTATCCCTTAGCTGCCTTAGGTGCCCTCTTTACCCAATTTCAACTTGACATGTCGGAGCATAAGACAAGCTGTTAGGCTTCAGAAATTGTCAAGAAGGGTCCAAAGACAATCAGAATTATAACAATGACATTTGAAATTCTTTCAAGAAGCTTTCAACTGGAAAATTCCAGTCCAGTTTCAAAGCTCGAACCCAGTTTTTCGGATGTTGTTTTTCAGCAAACATGTACGGCTCTTTTGCTGGATCAACCGCCCCCTTCGATAAATACAAATAAACATGATAGGTAATGATAACTTTCTTCTTTTAAAACATTGAACTAAGCTGCTTCTGGTATTAAACTTAAGTACTTAGCAAGTCATATTAAGGTACTGCATTTGTATAGCTGTTTAAGATATATCCAGATTCATTGCCTTTGATACATATAGACAAATCTTGCATACCATGTGATGATCACCCTTCAATTTTTCAAGGGCGGTTTATGATTGATTCCTCTATATTGATCGGACAACGTGGCTTCTTCGTTATCCCACTCATCGGTTCATCTCCGAATATGATAGTGACACAGAAAAGAACTCATATTATTTAACCTTGTATTGCATTTGTCTTAAATGTTCTTGTCTAGCCTTGAAAGTGACAGACCAGAGAAGACAATTAGGATCAAATGATAGATATCTACAGGTTCCAAGAGTAAATGATAGAGTGAACAAGCAATTTTCCTCATAGTTTCCGATTAATAAACTAAATTCTTTGTTAGAACTCGAATTCTTTTTTATGTTTTCAAATTTTTCTTGTCTTGATTCAAGAACTTCCCGGAATGATTATTTAAATAAAAAAAAAAAAAAACAAAGAAGACTTTGTTACAATAACATTTTTAATAATTTTTTTTTATCACAATTTGATTCTCGACATTATACATCTGTTTCAAACTTGCAATTTTTATTCAAATAGTAATAAAAAAGGTTATAAAAAAAATACAAGACCGTATTTAAATAATTTAATTCCCAAACTATAGGTAGATGATATAGTTTAAGTCCCCGACGTTTGTTAATGTCACAAAGTAGCTTTTCAAATTTTGCATTTATTTAAAGCTACACTATTGAGCTTACTTTTTATTTTTAATAGCATACAATATAAATGCACCATGTATTCATTATAATTGGTTAAAAAATTTATCATTACTACCATTTGTAATATATCGAGCCCAATAATTTTTGAATTCAAATCACTAACTCTGAATAGTTCAAATTCAACTTATTATTAATATATAATTTTATACCAATTTTTTTTTTTTTTTTGTGATCTTCTACTTTTTTAAAAAAAAAATAATATTTTATTTTTAGAGTAATTCCACTTAGTTGAGAATATAATAACCAAATATTTAACATAAAATAGTTGAAAATTGATTGGAAAAAAATCTTGTGGATCTCCAATCATTCATACACTTACAAATTTTGATAATTTTTGAATTATAATAAACTTAATGGCCATACTGCTGATGAACATTTTCATCATTTTAAATTCCACCGATTTAAAAAAAAAAAAAGAAAAAAGAAAAAGAAGAAACCATAGATAGTTGAATAAACTATTCATGCATATATTAATATCCAAAGACCTAGATGAAGAGTAAATTATGATTTTGAGATACACTGATCTTAATCAGACCATTGTTATTGTCAACTTCCTACACCATAACACCAACACCTGTGGTCTACATTCTAAGTCATAATTTACTTAATTAAATGAAAAAATTTTGAATATCTCTGTGTGTGTGTGTATGTAATATACATATATAATGAAACCCAGTGGTGTTGACAAGCTTTTTTCTAATTAAATCATTAATTAGGGTTCTGACTTTAAGTCACTTCCAATTAGATTAGTCAAAATTGAAAAACAATTTGAGGGTTATGACCCAAATTATTGGCTTCAAGTTTATCTAATTTGAAATGGGTAATCTCCAAATTTAAGACAAATTCAAATTGTAGGGTAGTAGTGCCACAAAAGTTAGTTGGCTAGTTGGCACAAAAGAGGCCAGGGAATGGCATAAGCACTAGTCTAAGTTCAATGGTTCATTGAACAATCAAATATATATACACACACACACACACACACACACATATATATATATATATATGAATCTTTGATTCTCTCTTTTATTGATAGGAGCCTTATTGTCAAGAACATGCCTAGCACCATAAAGTCATTGCTTCCCTTGACCAAAAACAGAAAAGGCAAATTAGCATACTTAAATATTTATATTTATATATTCTCACCACAAGTTGTCCTATTTCTCTTCCTTTTCTTTTTTTTTTCTTTGGTTTATCAAGGTGGTAGGGTAGGGTGCCCTGAAACAGACAAGGCACCAGCATGTGAACCTTAACCAATTCCTACACCTGATATGTTTCTCAACATTCCTCAATGACTTCTCTTCTATCCACTTTTAAGGTTTGAACCTCCCTCTCTCTATATATCTCTCTTCCTATATATATGTATATATATATATAACTTCACGTACTAAAAATACCAACCCAATAAAGACTTTACCTATCTCTACATACCCATCTTCTACATCATTCATATCATACACATACATACATCTAATTTCTTTGTAATTTTCACTTGTAAAATGGGAATCCAACTAATGGGACTAGCAAGCGCGAAGCAAAAGCTGCAACGAACACTTTCTGCGAGGATCGCGAGTGTTTTGGCCACGAGTAATGTTCCGAAAGGCCATGTTGCTGTTTATGTCGGAGAAAATTACCAACGGACGAGGTTTGTGATACCGATATCGTACTTGAACCATCCTTTGTTTCTGGATTTGCTGCATAGAGCAGAGGAGGAGTTTGGATTTGATCATCCAATGGGAGGTCTCACACTTCCTTGTAGTGAAGACTACTTCATTGCTCTAACTTCATCTTTGAATTGTTGATTGATTTTAAATTTTGGTAGAAGCAAAATGGCTTGGCATGGCTCAAATTAATCTGCAGGGCAATTATCAAATCGTCCAAATTGAAAATTAATATTAAAAAAAAAAAAAACAAGAAAACAGAATGATTTGAGACAGTCCATGAAGCTAGCTACAGTGTCTTCAATTTTGTAATTTTTCTGGGTTCTTTTTAATTTGTTTGCATATTGAAATCCATGTAATTTGTAAATAACTTGTTGAAAGTATTATATAATTAAATTACTTTTCATCTTTAGTTGATCACCACATATTTCATTACCCTTCTGATTTCCTCTGTATCTGGGGTACAAAATTCCTGTTCTGGGATTCCAAAAAAAGTTAAAAGGGTATATGCCTTTATATGTATGTGTATATATATATATATATGTAGATATAGATATGTAAAAGGGTAAAGCCTAGATAATATATAAAGGATCACAATTTGCATGTGTTGCTAGAAAAAGACAATAACAAGCAACATGGGGAAATTGAGTAAAGAATTCTTCTAAAAAACAAAATATATTACAAACAGCTGGAAAGAACAAGAATTTCAAGCTTGGAAAAAGATTTGATGAGTTTGACTATTTCTATCTCCAGCTCTACCTCAGTTCCACACTCTGTATTTAATTTTATAACTGGCTTTTTAATGGGTAAAAATTATATATCTGCGCGTATTCCCTGTATCTATCTGTGTATATGTGCATGATCGTTTCTCTGCTTTCACCAGTTTTTTTTTTTAACTTTTGAAGGTGGCCGTCATTATTTTCTGTATTTTATTATTTGCTGCAATTGAATTAAGTTTTTTTTTCCTTTTCTTTTTCTTTTTTAACAGAAAAAAATGAGATTAAAAACATTTTTTTTTAAATTCAGTCTAATTATTTTAATTAAATAAATTTAAATATTATAATTTTTTTTTTATTTATAAAAATAATAAACTTACTAATATTTACCTGAATTTGTTTTTGTATTCTTATTAAATCTGAGTAGTAATTATTTATTATTATTAATTTATAGTATATTTATAAGATTTATTTTTAATAAAATTCAGACTCTAATTTTTAAAGAAAACATAATTATGAGGGTTTTTGAGTGCTCTGCGGTACATTATGAACTGCATTCTTTGCGATTCGCATTTGCGGCTGAAAACTAAAGTGCAGTTGATACAGAATCTGAAAAAGCAAAATCCTGCTGACAGACAGGGATGAGAGTCCAAGGACAGTTCGTATCATCTAGTCAAACTTTTCATTATATATACGACTTATATATACATATACAGACACACACACACATATATATATATATATATGGTTTAGTATCACTCACTGACTCCCATTATAACAGTCTGTTTGTTGGGATGGAATAAGTAAACTATATATATATTATATAATAATAAATGAAGATACAAAATATGGAAACAAAATCTTCATCGAAAAAATATGAAAACAAAATTTAAGATGGTTACATTTACATAATGTATCAAGTTAGAGGTATATGTTTTTAGAACAACAAATAAATTCAGATAATATATATATATATATACATTCACACATATTATATTACATACATGCATGTGAATAGTTAATTATGAAGATTTATTCCGATGAAGATTAACTGAAATTAGTAATTAATTTTGAACATGATTCTGATCAATAAATCAAGAGAAAGACTAAACACTGATAATATTCAAACTTCTCCAGGATCATATACATAAAAATATATATATATATATATATAACTCCTTCAAATCAAATATTAGTTCATTTACAAAAATTAGCCAAAACAATAATCTTGATTTGGGAAATGATTAAAAGAAAAACACACCACAGAATTATTTAATTTAATTTTGAGGTAAGATATATGAATTCATCTTCAGGGCAAGGAATCATGAGTCTATCCATCCGCTGATCAAATCCAAATTCTTCCTCAGCCTGACTCAACAATGCTTGGAAAACTGGCTGCTTTAAGTACGATAATGGAACCACAAACCTTTTTTTCTCCTCCTCCTCTTTCTCCCCAACGTAAACCGCAAAATGCCCTCTCGGCACATCTTCCCCTCTCCTCGAATGTGTCGACGACGACGACGACAACGATAATTGTTTTCTCGAAATCTGCCTTGCATGAAAAATCATCTCTCCGAATCGAATTCCCATTTGGGTCTCACTTACTGAAGCAAAAAAAAAAAAAAAAAAAAAAAAAAAAAATCAATGGGAAGAATACCTTCTTACATTTGATTTTTGAATAAGATGTACTAATCGAAAAAAACTAATATGATCTTTTTGAGATATCTCAGGCCAAAATTTGAGAGTACAATTGTTGTAGGTTTAGAAAGAGAGTGAAGTCAAAGCAACAAGGTAAAAGATTTGAGTCTTTTTGTTTTTGCCATTTTTGGGCAATGTTATATATAGGGAGAGTATGGCACGGTAGTATGATATGTTTTTGCATGGCTGCGGCTATGTAATATAATATCTATATGTGCTTTATCGTGACATTATAATATGTACAGGGTGGGGCCCAAATTAATATATATACATACAAATTTGAGGAATTAATATATATTGCCCCCACTGGTTTTCACGTCTCTAGAAATTAAAGAGCCGGGATTGAGGCACGTTGTTGATGTCAGTGTGGGAGAGAGATTGATCCGAAAATTCATGGATATTGTTTTGTTATTTCTTATAATTTTCTTTCAAGTAATTTTTGTATTTAAATTATTACAATCATGAGAATATGGAGCTGTGGTTTTGAACCGGACCTCTTCTAATTCTTCTGCATGCATAATATAATATTCACTGCCCGTATATCTCCACCTACACCCCTAATGACAATATATATATATACATACATACATATTTACGTGTAATATATCATTCGTTTGTTATTTTTCATCTCATCATATATATAATTAAGTAGTTATGGTAATAAGAAAAGAGTTCTTAAAATTGTCAAGACTCATATTAGTTCGAGTCGGATGAGTTTAAGAAGATGAAGAAAATTTTTTAAAAAAATTACAATAATATGAATAAATAATTAATTAAAATATTAATAATTTTTTAAAATAATAAAAAATTAGTAGCCCACCAACTAGCTTGGACCATATATATATATATATATATATCCACCAAATGGGCTAAAGAGGGGTGGGGCAAACCTAGCCCAGAAATCTTATTAATTTTTTTTTTTTTTTGGTTTTCTGTCATATATTTATAAATTTATGAATAACGTAATCTTCATGTATCTATTTGAGCATCTATATATATATATATATATATTATATTATCATTCACACGTAATTTAATAAAATTGCTAAAAATCATGTTGATAAAAAGAGCTAGTTTAATATTTCGACAGTTGAAAATTAGATTTGTAATCTCAACCTCCTATGATTCTTTATTTTATATATATATATATATATATATATATATATATATATATACACACACACACACATACACAGTAAAATAATTAAAATAATTAAAAAAAAATTAAACAACAATTGGGTCGGATCTAAATGATCTATCGTTTGATTCAAGAATATTTAAAGATAATTTTTTTTAATTGGGAAAATGGAAAAAGAAATTAGATTTTGAAGCATGTGAAATAATTAAATATAATTTATTTGAATTTTCAGTTGGAGACATGTGCCCCTAAATTCATTACAATTTGCCCCCTTAAAAAAAACCCGCCGTCACCAAACTTAGTTTTCTGCCTTTTTTACAAATCACAAAATTACAACTAACATTCCCCATGCACGTATATATATATATATATAAATATATATATATTTGTTTTCCTTCCTGTAATTTCATTCTTCATGTGATCACTTGATTGATAATTTCCAGAAATAGAATCGTCCACGATCCCAGTAATTATTGATGATGTTTTATAAAAAAAAAAATTCATATTATTTTATATATAAAATGTTATTAATCGTCAGCTACTATACTATATATATATATATGTATATATTATTAAATCTAGTTTTTTTTTTTTTATATATGTAAGATTATAATATACTCTAACAACACGAGGACTGAAAACTGGGAAGTCAAGCCCAATCTCTTGTGATATTACTGCCATTATTTATATCCTTATAAAAAAAATTGATTTTAAATGCACCAATTTAATAATAATAAAAAGAAAATAATTTAAACCAGATCTTAATTACATACTAATACAAAATTACAAAACACGAAATCATGCATTAATCAATAATCTTTTTCTGTTGTATATGATTCAAGTTCGTTATCTTTTTATTTTGTTTCTGCATTTTAAATGTTTAATACATAGAAATAAGTTATAATCTCTATTTTTGATATTTACATAAAATGTTATGTGTGTGTGTGTGTGTATGTATATATATATATATATATATATGTATTCTGTTCTTGTTCATCATCATCCATTTAAACCCGCCAGCCTTGCCTTCCGATCTTCTCCTCTCCCTGCACCATTTAATGCCTGCCAACAAAAAATTGGTCTGCATTTTAGCTACTTACCGGGTCCATATATACATGTATCACTATACATACACCACGCGGATATATGATATGACAAAAAATATACATTAATTTTCGTTTTTGATAAGAACAAACATTTACTATTTTATATTTTACGCTTCTTCCAACTGTAAATCTGTAGCTAGCCATACATTACAAACTTATAACAGCTTCTAATCCAAACCCATGAAAACCACGCGGATTATTTCCTGTATGGGTCTCAGAAAACTCATCAACTTCATTTGATTATGATCCCTTCCTCTCCGTCAATATATATGTATATATACATCACATTTCCGTACATATACAACACCCTCTTGAAATAACATACACAACACCCATACATATGTTATTTGAGATGGGTATTCGGTCATTGATGATAAACATATCAAGTACTACGCAAATCTCCAAGCTGCAATCTCTTCTTCTCCATAGAAACCAACCAGTTGCACCAAAGGGTCATGTTGCAGTTTACGTCGGAGATGAGTTGCAGATGAAGAGATTCGTGGTGCCGATTTCTTACTTGAATCATCCGTGTTTTATAAATTTGCTGAAGCGTGCGGAGGAGGAGTTTGGATTTAATCATCCCATGGGTGGCCTCACCATTCCATGCAAAGAAGATGTATTCATCGATCTCACTTCTAGGGTTGCTTTGTTCATTTTGAAGAACGATCAATTATCTCCCTGCAACTCTCAATCATAATTAATCTTGATTCAATTTATTTTCCCAGTCTGGTTTTGTTCTAGTTCTTATGCATTAGTATATACGCATTTATCTCTATCTGTTCTTTGCATGTGTGTATATTATATACACACACATATATATATATGTGTGTATATTTTATATGATGTATCGGTTTTTGTAAAATTTGAACGTTAATGTGCATGTAATTAATTTATGGAGCTTGTATGGAACCATAATATTTTATAGTTATGGAAATCTTTTTTAAGGAAACGATATATATATATATATATATATATATACACACACGAGAAGAACACAGTATTGTAGTTATGGAAATGCTAGGACTAGGACGCTACAATTATGAGTGAATGCATGTGATGATATATAATTGACATACCCAGAGATAAATTAGAACGTGAAATGATGAAACTGAGCACATGTGCTTGTAGAATTATTGCTGATTGCTCCAAGAAAATCAACATATAATATATTTTTAACCAAAACTTCTTGCAATTTTTTATTATTGTACTAAAAAAATATTTTCTAAATTTTTTTAAAAATTATTTTTAGACAATTTTTGAGAATATATATATATTTTTTTCTATCTGTGCCCTATATACATGTGTGTGTATTTACAGATAATTTATAAATTTATATCCATTTATTGTATAATGTTTTTAATTTGCGGTAAAAATATTTTCTTTAACTAATTTCCCAGACAAAATTAATTATTTTCTGAACAAGCTTACGGGTGTAACTTTTAAATCTGGATTAATACAATCTATTTATACTTAATAATTATTTATTAACATTTATTACCCCATTAATGTGATTTTTAATTATTCAAAAACCGATAAACAGTAAACGATAACCAAGAAAAATAAAAATAATTAAATTAAAAAAAAAAAAAAAGAAACAAAGTAACGGAAGGGTGTAGAAGAAACAGAGTTTGTAAGTGAAATAAACAGGTGGGTTTTGATTGGGTGAGTCGACTCAGTGAGTTAAATATGATATATGTCTCGCTTTTTCATTTTTTTCCATTTGGGTGGTTTAATTCGTTAGAAAAAATTTTAAGAGATAATAAAAAAATTTAATTTTTAATTTTATAATTGTTTTTATTAATTTTTAAGTATATTTATATATATAGAGGCACTATAATAACTCTTAAAATTTTAAGTATATAATTTATAATTAAATTTAATATATGAATTAAATTTTTTAAAAAATATATTAATTATTATCTTCGTAATAACTTTATAATAAGATAAAAAAAAATTTAGATGTATTAAAATTTATAGATTATTATTTAAAAAATATAATAATTTTAATTTTCTATAAAATAAATTTTAACATAATTAACCAGCCCAACCACGCGCGTCCACCCAGCAAAATTAATTTTTCAAACAAACAAGTGGGTCTCTTTTTCATCAACTTACCAACCTTCCCTTTATATGTATCCATATATACATATATATATATATATATATATTTCTGGGTAATTTTAGAAGAGAAACCCTTCTACATACATTATTACATGTACGAAGATAAATATTATATTATATAAAGATGAAGATACCACATGCAAAAACCATGGGACTATTTCCCGCGCGCATGTCCAGAGGGACCTCATCAACTCCAACTTGAGCAAAACTAATTGAGCTATTTACGTACGGTGTGGGACCAAATTACCCATTCCTGTCTATCAATATAAAAATACAAACATATCGCCTATATATACGCATGCCCATATCACAAACCTCCTCATTCATCACCTTCAACCTTTAATACTCCACTCCAGAACTACCCAGTTCAACACCGACTCATCGATGGGTTTTCGATCGTTGATTCCGATCAGCGCCAAGCAAATCTTCAAGCTCCAATCTCTTCGTCTTCATAAAAACCAGCAAGAAGTGCCGAAAGGCCATGTTGCAGTGTACGTCGGAGAGTTGCAGAGGAAGAGGTATGTTGTACCGATCTCCTATCTGAATCATCCTTGTTTCAGAGATTTGCTCAAGTGTGCGGAAGAGGAGTTTGGATTTAATCATCCCATGGGCGCTCTCACGATTCCGTGCGAAGAACATGCCTTCGTTAATCTCATCACCTCTCGCCTGCATTCTTCTTCATGAACAGTAATATTAATGGAAAGGGATGACGATGATGGATATCATCGGACTTTTACTGATAAATTCACAGTTTTGATTTTAGGGTTTTTGATGATATTCATCGAAGAAAAGAGTAGTAGTAGCAAAATATCAGCGTGTATATAGAGGAGTAATAATTGATTCTGTAAAAAAAGGCAGAGAGGATTTGCTTGTTCTCTTCCGGAAATCAATGGAAATAGATATGAAGCTTTTGAATTTTTAATTACAATGTTTTCTCTCCTCTGTTTTTCAGTTCTTTTTTTTTTTTTTTCGTGTTGTATATTATATGTAGTTATAAATAATATACATTTTCCAAAACTCAAATTTATTAATTATTTTAGGAACAGTTAAATATAATTTTTTAGATTCTAAAATTCATAAAATTATTTATGTTCCATAAATAATTAGAACATTTGTAAACATGCTGATATCTTATTTACACGAACATAATTAAATTATCCATTTTTTTGAAGTAACAAAATCAAATTTTTATAAAATAATAAATTAAATTGCAACCATTCTTTAATTATATATTTAGTATATAATTTTATCTCTTTGTAAAACATTATGAGTTCGACTCAATCCTACTTACATTATAATTAACACGTATGATTAACAAAATATATAATTTTAATAGAAAAACAAAAATGTAATTTTAGGGTAGGTCCAGGCTCAGTTCACACTTCACATGGTTTTGTTCTTCGTAATCTAGGGTAGGGCAGAGATCTGAGATTTAATCATGGTGTTATTAATTGACCTGTAAATTTTGGTGTAATGACTTCTCTGCTGAAACATGTAGGGCAGGCAAGCACTCTATACGTTTCAAGTGATAAGCATAGCTCGCTCCCTTAGTATAACAACATATGGGTAATGGGTCGACCCGATAATAACCCGCCCGAACGGAGCTCTGCGATCAAGATCAGTCTGCCTGCAAATTGCATATACATACATATATATATATATATATTCGTTTTTATAGAGATGAAAAACCAAAATAATCAGACCCAGATGGGATTTCTTCAAGCTGATTCAAAATTTTAGGTTAGCTAAAAGTAATTTAAAAAGAAAATGAGTTATTGGTAATACTGAATTTTCCATGGACGGTGGATATCTATGACGTGCAAGTTGGTGATGGATCATAGAAATTGTTGAGATCCCACATGCAAGCATGAGAATACATGATTATATGTGTGTGTGTATATATATATTATCACGAAAAGAGCCCTACAGAATATGATCTGTAAGCCAAAATCTCCGCCTCTTTCTTTATATTATATTATCTTATATTATATTATATTATATATAGATATAAAGCAGTGCAGCGTGAATGAAGATATCCATTATAGTACGCATTCATGCATGTTTCTGTGACATCAGTTGCTGTTAAAAACTTTTGGAAAGAAAGTACTTTCAAAAAGATAATATACACAGCAAACACTTTCCCTTGGACTGGTCTTGTTTCTTCATTCTTTTCTCGCCTCCTATATATATATATATACGGGTATGTATATAACTGTGATCTGTAAGATTTCCGTATCAAGCAGTGACGCAGAGGATACATGGGAAATTAAATGAGAAAGGATGCTGGTTGAATTTATCAATAAGAGTCAATGCATGTGCAGCAGCATCATTGATGTATACAGAGGCTGTATATATATATATATATACACACACACGTATATATATATATATAGAGTACGTAAGGCGTAGAGTACCCAGAGAGTGTTGTAGATTAGAAATTATAATTACCCTGAAAAAGGGAAGTAGTTGCAGGCTGTAGGTGTCATTTTTATTTATTATTATAAATTTATTTTGATGCAATTGCAAATTGGTGGGTCTTGTGACGCCATTGCCATCAGTCTCTGAGTTTTCTTCTTCTTTTTCTCTTCTTCCACTCTCTCATCACCCCACAAGCTTAGTTATAATTGTCACCGACCCAGTTTTATTTTTCTACACTATTTAATAAAATTTATAATGTAGGCTTTCAATATTTCGTTGTTTTTACTTTCTATTTACTTTAAATTCATATTATATTTTAAAATAAAAATTCATATATTTATTAATAAATAATATATAAACACTAAATAAAAAAAATAATCGAAAACACAATTTAACTCAAAATTATAATTTCCTTAAAATATATATATATATATGTCAATGAGCTGTGGTCAGTTTTAGTGAAGCTTTAGACCATGTAAGATACATAATTGGATGTGATAAATATTTTTAAACACTAAATAAAGGTCAAATAACAAGTTTGAAAATTTAATTTTTAATTATATTTTTTTGAATAGAAAGCCGATATAATTATCAATTACGTGATACACACACATTAATTATAATATAATATAAATAATATCTAAATTAAAATATTTACAAGAGTACAACTCAATTTAAACATGTTGGAATAAATATATTAATGTTTGATGAAATAAAGAATAATTAATGTATACAAATATTATATTTAAAAATAACCAAAGCAATAGATCATGTGAGAAAGCGTGTGACCATGTGAGGCTTACAGTATATGAACAACGCTAGGTTTATTGTGAAGATGCATGTGACGATGTGAGGATTACATCTTTTCAACCTACACTTTGCATACACACGTCTTTACATTTTTTGCATGTATTTAATCTCTAAAAATATTGTTTTTTTTTTTAATATATGTCTAATTAATAGATTGAGATTTAGCACCACGAAAGGAGTTTGTCTGCATTATTTTTTACGATTTTGAAAAGTTGAATTTAAATCTTGAAGGAAAAAACTTAAAATTTTGATATATTCTTGTGTTTCATCTTATCACCTACTCATAAGTTTAAAAAGTCAAAATCTTAAATTGTGGCTTACAGTATATGAACAACGCGAGGTTTATTGTGAAGATGCATGTGACGATGTGAGGATTACATCTTTTCAACCTACACTTTGCATACACACGTCTTTACATTTTTTTGCATGTATTTAATCTTTAAATATATCGTTTTTATTTTTTTATTTACGTATAACTAATAGATTGAGATTTAGCACTACGAAAGGAGTTCGTTTGCGTTAGTTTTGACGATTTTGAAAAGTTAAATTTAAATCTTGAAAGAAAAAACTCAAATGTTTGATATATTCTTGTGTTTCATCTTGTCACCTACTCCTAAGTGAGGGATTTGAGGTAACGTTTTTTTTTTCTTCGAGTTTTTCAATATAATTCATACGCTCAATTTTGTTTATAACAAATTTTAGAGGTAAGACTTGATTAATTATTTGTAAAATATTCTTCTCTTTTATTTGATCTTCTACTTGAAATCTTATTTTTGTAAGAACTCATTTTAGATACTATTCGTTCGTCTATTTATACTTTAAAAAAATATATTTATTTTATTAAAAAAATTTATGAGCAAACCTCTTAAAAATCAATCATCTGAGTCAAATCTTGAAAACTCTTTTTACATTTTATTAAATTTCACATTGTATTTTTATTCTTGTGACAAGAAAATTTAAATCCTTCATCTCGTATTCTTGTTAGTCAGTCTGTAAGATGTATACAAACCTCTTGATAATTAAGTATTTGAGAGAAATACGCAAGTGGTAATATTATACATCTTAAATTAGCATTTGAATGAATTTTAAAGAGAAAATACTCACGTTGTTGACTTGAAGAACTAACATGGGTGAATGGGGTGATTAGACTTTTATAAAAATCAAGTTTTTACAATTTTTCTACCATTAAATTTTGAATTTGAATATTAAATTTAATTTATAAGTTTATTTATCGGAGTAATTTGATCTAATGTGTTCATTTTATTTATTCGTTAAAATATATTTAGTGTTCTAATTACTCTTTCTGTTGAATTTATTATCGTTGTATAAATTATATCTCTTGAAAATATTTGATAATTATTCGTGACAAATGAAGCTAGTAATAAGTAAGTGTGTCCTATCCTCAGTATATTTTCATAGCACCTACAAACTAATAAATAGTATATATATATATATATGTATTGAATATAGATTCAAAATTCTAAATTAAACTTTTTTATTGAACTATATTATTTCAATAGTTGACTCACCTACTTAATCAAACCTAATTAAGAATCCCGCAACACGAGATCACAGTCAACCTCTTAACTACACACATATATACGTACACATATTTACATTCATCATCTGCTCTTTGGTCCTTTTTTTTTTTTTTTTTTTTTTATTAATGGAGACTTATATCTATACGCCGACAATGTTGAATTCTAATATGTAATGGAAGATATATCAGCATTCGATCAATCAAAAGCTAACATATATTTTATACACTTTTTTTGAAAAATAAAAATAAAATAAAAGAAAATATCTAACACTAGTCCTAGTAATGTACTCTTGAACGGACACTACGAATAGACATGAAAAAACATATATCATCAACTCAAACAGAAAATACAGCTCAAGATCAAATGGGATGCTTCTTCTCTATACCCGTTTCACAGATGAACATATGTATATATACGTACAGATTTATACGTACACATATATATACATGATAAAGAATTAGTGTACTAATTAATTTTGATCGCATGGTTGGTACAGGACATGAAGAAATTGAAGTACGTACTAGCAAGGACACACAACTTTTAAGGTCCCTGTTTTCCCAAAAGAAATTTAAAGCTATATCTACACGTACATATACAAATACTATATATATGTGGTGTTAACAGGGCTGCTAGTCTGTTGTGAGGCACGAAGATGACAAGTCTTAGATGTATGTCTACTTGGACCATATATATATATATATATATATATATATACACACACGTATATGACGATGATCACAGATGAAGAGGAGGTTGTTGAGCCATAAATTTTTTGATACAAGCTAGAAGAGAAATTAAGAGAGGTGATGAATGATTGAATCAAGCCATGTGATCTTCGCAGATGTAGGTCCTCAGCTTAACCCTAAGGCTCTCCTTCGAGGAAATTTCGTTTTTTTTTAAAAAAAAAACTGAGATGGAAATATATATTTTATTAATAAAATAATACATACAAATATAATCTTTTGCTGAAGACACATAAAAATGTACAGTTTAATTCAAAATTACAAATTTTTTTTTTTTTTTTTTTTATAAAAAAGATACACTAATAATTTAAAATTATATTGTGATTAAACTAATATAATTTATTCATCTTAAAAAAAAAAGACCAAATCCAACATAGAATTGTGTATAAATACCAAGACCAGCTTACTACATACCTTCATCTAAAATAAGCCAACTCCATAACTAGCAAAAACTCCAAATCTAAATCAGAACCAGTAATGGGTATCCGGTTGCCATCATTGATTGCCAATGCAAAGCAAATCCTGACACTGCAGACCCGTCTCTCGAAAAATTATCAGACTGGTGTTCCGAAAGGGCACGTGGCAGTCTACGTCGGCGAGGAGCTCGAAAAGAAGAGGTTTGTGGTTCCAATATGTTACCTGAACCACCCTTCATTCCAGGACTTGCTTAGTAGGGCAGAGGAAGAGTTTGGGTTTAATCATCCAATGGGAGGCTTAACAATTCCTTGCCAAGAACATGTCTTCGTCAGTCTTTTTTCTCAGTTGCAAGGGTTATACTGAGATTAACTAATTTATATTTTGACATGAAATTTTCTCTTTATTTATTTATTTATTTTTTCTGTTTAGTGTGGAAGAATATTTCACTGAACAGATTCCCAAATGTAATTAATTAAATGGGTAGAGAAAGATTGATTTCATATCCCATGATGAGAATAATTCATGAGTAATGAATCACATTAACTATATATACGTAGCTTTCTGAAAATAGATTTGTGTACATCATCTAGTTTTTGTATCTTGGTTTTTTATAGTTCTTCTAAAAGAAATTATTTATAACTACAGGAATGTGGAAATTACTTTTTAGTTTGTTTATTTGATTTCCAAGACATAAAATTTAAGAGCTTAAGCTGACACAATGTTGAATTCTGGGACATAGATGCATACCATATCTATGAAAGGAACTAAAGCTAAATTAGAAAATAGGTAAATAATATACAGTGGTAAAAAAAAAGGTAGAGTTTGTACAAGGATAATTTTATCTTTTCAATTATAAGAAATTAAGGTTAGTGTTAGAAATAGAAAAACAAAAAAGTAAGAATAAAATCGGACTATCATTCTGTCGTTCAGACGATTACAATCTCTTATTTTTATAACTTATATATAAGCATGTGTTCAATGTAAAAAATCATCATTGTGTGTAAAAGAAAAACAGTTTGTGCATCACCCTCTAGAAACTAAGTTACAATTTTTGAAGTGCATGCAGAAGGTGGAACAAATTTTCTTCTAATTTTTGCAGAAATTTGAAATCCATACATTTATTAGAAAAAAATTCAAAGTTTATACATTTACCAGTTATATGATATATAAATATTAATTATAATACAATAGAAAAATAACTTTTAAACTATAATTCAAAAGAACATAACTCGTATTTAAACGTACATGAATACACGGATCATTAAGTTAAATAGGAATTGGTAGAAGATGGAGGAAAACAGAAGTTAGATATTATGGTGGAGAGTGCATTGAATTAAAATCAGTAAATAAAACCTGCAGAGCCAATTCCTTTGATTATTCATTGTAGGGGGGACTCACAAACATGTGGGGAGCTACGGCTGCAAAAGCTACCTGGCTTCTCAGAAAGATCATTTATTTCCATCTACCCTACAATAATTTTCCCTAATAAATAACCCTTACTATATATATATATATATATATACGTACATAGATATAAGTATATATGTATATACCCTATTTCTTTCTGCACAAAAGCTCTTCACATGGTTGTGTTTCTCTTCTTTTGCAAGACTCCTACCACAAGTACCCGTGAATTGCTGGTCCAGTCTAAGTCTCTGCTTCCAAAAAGAAATTTTGGCTCACATAAAAAATCAATCATTTATTTAAACTAAACGTTTTACCTTTGCATTGTATTTTAATTTTAAAAATATGTGTATCCGGAGGGCATTCTCTTTTTCTTTGTCATTTTTTTTTTGAAAAAAAAGAGAAAGTCATAATTGTTTGTGTAGAACTCTGACCCATGACCAGCCTTGGAATTGCCTTCTTCTTAGATCATGATTTGGAAAGGTTTAAGTGGGTCAAATGATAAGTCTAGTGCCCCATAAATTGGATGGATAAATAACATATATATATATAATATATATATATTATATACAGAGAGAGAGAGAGAGAGAGAGGGAGAGCGTTGATTGAGGTAAGCCATGTGAAGCTTTGTGAAGGTGGGTCTACTTCAAATTGCCAACTTTTCCAATCTGTGATGATACATATAGTCTCTTTTAGCTGTATTTATAATGGGAAAAAATGATGGAGATACCCACTATCTACAACTCTATAAATACCTTATAAAATCAGCCTTATTCCTCCAACTTCATCAACCTCAACCTTCACAAAAACGAGACTACTAATATAACCATCTTACAGTCTCCAAGATTCCAACTTTACATACACACATACATACATATATAATAATGGGTATCCGTTTGCCATCAGTGATACCTAACACAAGGAAAATTCTGAAGCTGGAGTCTCTTCTTTCCAGAAACCAAACAGAACATGTTCCAAAAGGCCATGTTGCAGTATATGTTGGAGAAGAAATGCAAAGAAAGCGGTTTGTTGTGCCGATTTCTTACTTGAACCATTCATCATTTGCAGACTTGCTCCGGAGAGCAGAAGAGGAGTTTGGATTCCATCATCCCATGGGGGGTTTGACCATTCCTTGCCCAGAAGATACCTTCGTTGATATCACCTCTAGGTTGACTTCTTGCTTATGAGGAGAAATTAATTTGAGATTACATAAAAAAAAAAAAATGAAAAGAAAAAGTTTTGGTCAATTTTTTTTTTATTTTTTTTTTCCTTATGTAAAGTTCTTATTGTTTTTCTTAATCTGTTCTCTGTTCTTTGTTTTGGGAGAACTTTGTGGTAAAATCCTTGTACAAAATTCTCCTCTTGTTTACAAGAGAATGATTTAAGTATAATGCTAATTTTCTCTATATCATTCTTCCCTTCTTTCTTAAGTTTATGTATCTGTAAGTTCTCCATAGCATCAATTTTCTTTGATGAGCACTCAGAAATTTACGATGAAGATATTTTTTAAGATTTATTTTTGAAGTCAACTATATTTATGCACATATTTATTGAGAAAGGTACAAAACTTACATATTTCTAGAATTATTATAATATAAAAAATAATTTTTTTTTTTTTTTTTTTTATTGTCATCTTTGCATTGCTAACCAATTTATATAATTTTATGAATGATATATTCCTACTATTACTTCGTAGCTAAAAAGATGGAAACTAATATTGCAGATACAAACTGTAACAATAATGGATCATAATCTTAAAATCTCTATATGATATTTATACAACCATTAATACATTTATAAGGAAAAAAAAAGGAAAAAGAATATCTAAAGCTTGCTCCTCTAAATTAATAAACTCTTAAGCTTGATTAGGACTCCTCCCGTGGCCACTGCCTTGTACTTTATTTCAACATCTCTACTGACTCAGCATGGATCGACGCAAGATCCGAGCTTCATCTATGTAATCACCATCCTTGCTCACTGTTCTGTTGCCAAGTTCATGGAATATGTGCCTTCAGATCCTTTATCCTGTTCTCGACAATCGGTAAATGGAATGAACAAGCCGTGGGGCAGGAATGTGCATCTTAGGTCATCAATTGAACTGAACAAAAGTTCATGGAAATACAGAACCCATGGCTTCAGAAGTTTCTGAGATTGGAAATAATAATTAATGTCATGCATCTAATCTAGAGACAGATTGCCAGTCCGAATATTGCGCTGCTGATGACTGATTCCTTTTCCCAATCGTGCTAGGGATGAATTCAACTCATCTGGTTTTCCACTGAAAGGAGAAGCAAGCTTTGGCTGAAACCACCTTCTTAGTGTGAGACCATTGATCCTGATCTTTCCATATGATTCATTTCCTTGGTAAGTTAGTCCCAACCTTCTCAGCATTGCTGCAATAGCCTGGCTAATTCTGGCAAAAAATGTATTCGCATAAATGGAAAGCACATAATTGACATGAGCACAGAAATCATTACTGAAATAAACACTTTTTAGTTTACGAACTATAAACTGGAAAATAAACGATCCCTAGAGTAAATAACTAGAAGGGGAAAATGAAGGTTGAATATTCTATTATGTGGTCACTCACCTTCCAGCAAGGTTGATTGCCTTCTCTCCTTCAGGAGATATAATCTGTGTCTGGTCTATTGGCAGTAAGAGAGTAATGTTTGGTAGCTTTGCACCTGAAAGAAATATGACAGCAAAAGATGACCAGGAGAAGTTAGTAAGTAGGTTAGATTTAGTAGCTTATCATCTGCCACCCTTCTGAAACTAATATGATTTATGGTTGTCATCACCGAATTGATTGGGCTTTATATAATAGCATGCAAGAGGGAAAATGAACTAAGAAAAAATAGATAAAGAGACTGAGCCAGATTTATTAGTACCAACAGAAAATATAACGATTTACTGTAAAATCAATGCTTTTTGCAGAGAATAATAGCAAATATCGAAAATATACATTCAGTTAACTAAGTCTAGGCTTATAAGAGAAGCACACACAACTATAATTACTGTTCAAAATGAGTTACTATAATCTTCCTGACAAGTTTATAACTACAGAGAGTACATACATAACATTTCTATTTATTCTCTCTCTCCCTAATATCTTTCAAAATTTCACTTTGAGCTTAGGTGTATGGTTTAGCTTAAGATAAAGAGTTACATAAGTTATATAAGCTTTTTACTAACTTAAAGTTATATGAACTTGTAAAAAATGTGGTTCAACTGTTTGATTAAGAATGTGCTTGTACCTTATTATTTAATTAATATAAATAAAAATATAATAAAAAATTTTAAAACTTAAAATATCAAATTTAGTGACAATATCTTTATATACTTTACAATCGAACACTTTTGTAAAGACTTGTAAAGGATTATGAACTACTCAACTTACAAGGTAACCTAGTCTCAAAAGCATTTAACATGACTGTCTGATTTTGAGAAATAAAGAGAGAGAGAGAGAGATATGAGAGAAATAAAAGAGAAACAGCAAGAAAAATAGGAGAAATAATTTTATTTTTCTCCTTTATTAATTATATCATAAAGATTTAGTCTTTTATGAACTATAAACAATTAAAGCAGCCACTATTATGGCCGAAATCAATGCATTGTTGTTAAGTAAATTCAAAATATTAACTTTAACTTTAACCTTAATTGATATTTGAAAAAAATTAATTTATTATTTTTATTATTTCTCTCATCTTTTTATCTTTAATGTTCTGAAAATACCCTCTCTTTTAGCTTCAACTTTGTCTCTAATGTTAAAATATAGTTTATTATTATTATTATATTATATATTTTTTTTTAACAGATTTTTTTTTTTCATATAGATATATATATATTAAAACAATTATATATATATGTTAATTATTCTATATATATATCTTTTTTTTTCTTAAGCAGTTTTCTACTACTTTTACCCTAATAAAATTAATTATTTTTATTATTATATATAGATATATATATTTTTTAAAAGCAGTTTTCTACTACTTCCACACGTAAAAATTAAATTTTCATGGATTGGCCCCTCTACACCACCAACGCAGCCGCTGCCAGACATTGTAATCGTGTTGCTACAATAACGCCTTCTTCTTCCATTTCTCCTTTTCCAGATCAAAACTCATCTGGAGAACGAGAGACCTACAAGTTCTTATTTTGACCTCAAGCGGATTAAAGCGGAGCCCGAGCAGAGCTTCCTAGAGGTAGTTCTTTCCGGCTGGTTAGCCGAGGTGAATGAGGAAGAGACCTCTAGGGTGTTCATTCTTGGCCGCTATTGCTTGAGAAAAAAAGATAAGGGGAACAGGGGAACTAGTTTGGTTCAAAATGTTGGCTGAACAGATTCGAATCGGATAAGTTAGTGAACCTAATTGGGTATGTGTTGTTTGGTCCTGTTCAATAACTGAACCAGTTTTAGAGTTCACTTTTTTATCTGAACCTGAAATCTTTTGTTCTTCATCACGCGGAAGAGGGGTTAGCTAGCCGTCACGTGCAGCCCCTTGAACAGTCGGCCTCGCATCTTTCAGGAATGCCTCCGCCAGGTGTGCTAAGCTTTCTTCAGTTCGGTCGACAGATTTGCCACAAAGCAAATCCAGAATCATGCTGAACTGCCACCGCGATTCTTCCATGAATGCGGTGAGTTTCAGATCAATCTCCTTCGCGATGATCACTTCTAGATTCTCCGGCTCTGATACCACCTTGTCAAAAGCATTTGACATGGCCGTCTGATCTTGAGAAGGAGAGAGAAAGAGAGTAGAAAGAAATAGAAGAGAAACAAATAGGGAAATCTGAAAAATAATTTTATTTTTCTCCTTAGTTGATCAACATAAAAATCGAGCATTTTATAGATTATAAGCAATTAAAACAGCCATTATCATGGCTGAAATCAATGCAGCGGTGGCTGCTGTGAAGTAAATTCAAAACATTAATTCTAACCTTAACCCTAATTGATACTCGTAAAAAATTAATTTACTATTTTTATTATTTTTTTCTTTTTTCACTCTTAATATCCTGACACCTACTTGTATTATCTTCATTACTGCCAAACATATCTACTATAAATTAATGCAACTGAATCTCATAGTAATATTCACACAAAACCAGATGTCAAATTAAAATTTAAGAAAATTTGAGATAATATTACCAGCAGCTAGCCGGTGCTTCAGACCTTTGAGAACAGTTAAAATATATACCTGCCAAGTTTTCCAAATGATATTAGTAAATGATCACTAATTGCTGTAGGAAGTTATTTGGATCAAAACCAGAGAGAGATAGATATAGATAGGCAGAGTGTGTGTATATGATGCTCTGAGACCAAGTAACGCTGCCTCGGCATCTTTAGGACCCAAACTATTGTCACTATATGTAGAAATATGAATGGATTTAAAGATGAACTTATGCAAAATAGGAACATCCTTAATTTGGAAATATTTCAATAATAAAAAATATTATGTTATTATATTGTTTATATATCATTACGATATCCTTATACTTATTAATGGTATAAGTTTATTATTTCCTATAAGTTAGAATCTTATTTAATCATTCTCTATTTTAGATTATTTTAATTAATTAGCTTATTTTCCTGTTTAGTAGAATGCTTAGATAGACTTAAGAAGTCCTATTTTCACTATAATCTAGTACCTATAAACAGAATGCCCGAGCTTAGTTATTTAGTAGATTATTCATATGATCAATATATAAATAATGAGTTATCAATTTAATTATTGAGATCCAAGATCTGTAGTCTTGATTTCTAATATGTTTCATCTAAGTTTTGTGCTCAAGTCCTTGCTGGTCTACATCATGAACTCTCTTTTAGTGATACTCCAATCCTGTACCAGAAAATTCATATTTGGAGAAACCAGAAGTCATGTGGTTTTGCAATATATTCTACTATTTAAGACTTCAAATTAAGTAACCTGACAACTTTCTTAGTAATAGTAAGATAGAAAATTTATAAAAGAATAACCATCACCACAGTAACAGTATCAAATGGTGATTGAGGAACAAACTAACCTCAGCAGTATAAATATACAAATTTCTTGCATCAACTACAATTGGACTTTCTTTGAAGGATGCACATTTAACAATTCCAAGAGAAGCAGCTTCCTGTAGAGATGTAAGAATATCACATGAATTCCCACCATATCTCATTACAGAAACTCAAAAGAATTTAAGAATTAATTGCAGCTGTGCACTGACCTCAAGTAAAGAAAAAGCTCGAGGATCATACTCTCCAAATCCATCAACTAGTGAACAAAGGTTAAAACGTCTTGATGAATCAGCACTGATTCCCAAGTTCTCAATCAGTCTCTTCTTCAATAAAGCATCATAAGGGAGCCGCAAGCATCCTAGAACTTGTGAAACAACTTCCACTGTAGGTATTGTACCACCTATGATTGTATCACGATAAACCATCAAGGCTAGCGATGTCCTGATTAAAAGCAAGGAAGCTAGAAGCATTGAGAAATATTTTCCATGTTTGATTAACCAATCGCATGTAAGGAAAATGAAATGTGAAACTAAGCTCAAGTTACTGAACCAAGATATTTTTTCATTTCTAAGAAAGAGCTAACCAAGTTAGACATTGGGATTTAGATTCAATAGACAAAGTAGGGGATAAAACTAGAAGGTCATAAACCTTTTGGTAATAACTGCGTAAATCAAGCTCAGATATCGTGTTTTGGAGCATTTATGTACCATTTCACCCTAAGCACCACTAGCTCAATAATTTTCTTGATAAAGCAATTATCTTTACACTTGGATTTTTTTAAATAAAAAAATTGACTTAAACTCTTATATAAAACTCAATATCACATTTTTCATAAAATGGTATTAATATATCACAACTTTTACCGCTCAGCTCCATAATTTTCTCATAAAAGCTATGAATTATAAATATAAATCACGATCGAATACCCATAGGGTTCAAGATTGCACCACTGAAGTCACGAGGCTAGTGAGTGTTCTAATACTATTTACCAGACCTCAACCCAAAACACCACTCAGCCAATAAATTTTAAACCAAGATCACTAAATTTTAAGACCCCAAGCCCAAGTTATTGATAATAAGTGATTTGAGTTCTTATATAAAATTTAACAATCGTATATCTTTATGTAAAATTGAGATATCACAATATGAATGCATTATCGAGAAGATGATTAAGAAAAAAATGTTCTTGTCTATTTTATCAATGAGTTTAAACTATGACACCTACAAATTGCTAGTAATAGAAAGTTCCAGTACAACAATTGTAAAAAAAACAAACAGAATACCATTCATTTTCAATTTGCGGCCGTCCTGAGCTGAAAGCTACAACAGGCTCACCAAAAATACAAGCCTTCTCAAACCTCCGCAAGCACATTCCTTCTCAGAAGATCAGATTAAAGGATTATTAGAATCATTGGAGCTGAAACATTGCCATCAAAATGCAGTACTATGTGCCAAAACATGAGGTTTCAGCTGGGAAATACAGAAAACTTTACAGAATACAGCTCATAGAAAATCAAAGCCAGATAATAAAAGCTATCAAGTTCGATAGATAAAATGATTCTTAAATGAAAAGTTGCATGTGGAAATTGGGTCTCCAACTAGATTTTAAAGAACACTTCCATATGTGATAAAGCAATAGTTAAGCAACTTTCAATGCTTACCAACTATAGATCTACATGTAACAAGATTTGGTGCAATTCCATCTTCTTTGGCTTGAGAAAGGAACATGAGACCCATTTCTAGATCATCCTTCCTAGAATTGAAATTGAGGCATCTAACTGTCAATTATTCTTCATGGGTTGTAGGTCAAAAGAAAGTTAATAATTGGATCGAAGTGAACTTACTTTTCACTTGCTGCCAAGAGAACAGAATATGTGACAGTGTTAGGGCATAAGCCTAACTTCTTCATCTCAGAAAGAATTTCCATAGCCATAGGCAGCTGTTCCCCATCACCTGTAGTAGAACTTATTATGTTCTTAATCCAATTATATTATCATATAATCACATAAAGAGAACGTACAAGAAAAGAATACTTTCAGATTTATTAACCCTGTAGAATTCAATCCATATTGTAGAACCAAGTTCAGCCGTGAAATAATTTGAAAAATAAGCAATAAAAGCCAACTTACACAAGGCAGTGATCAAAGCATTCATAGTTGAAACTGTTGGTTTCAGTTTGATAGACTTGATGTTTTCATATAGCTCCAGGGCCTTCTGCCAGTTTTTGGCCTAAAGCAAAACAAAAGAATACTTTACCACTGTTGCAGTTTCCAAAGAATCATAAATTTCATACGTAAACTAACCTTGAACCAATCTCCACGAGTATGATTTCTAGAGCACAAATTTAATCCTTAAATAAACTGTGACTTCTTTAATTCTGTTAAGATCATTTGTATTGTTTGTCATTTTGAAAAGGTCTCGATGTATCTTTATGTACACGAATCACATGTACCAAACTTAAAATTTTATCTACAAGGCATACATGTTGCCACTTCTTCATGGCCCCAAATAAGAATCTTTTGCAAAAATGTAACAGGGATCAGACACTGTTCCTAATAGAAATAACAAATTAAGGAGAGAAATAGTGCATTTAGAACTTGATAGAGAGAGAGGGAGCAACATCTTACTTATACTTAAACCAGGATAGAGGGCGCAACATCTTACTTATACCTTAACCAGGATAGAGGGAGCAGCCTCTTACTTATACCTAAACCAGGATAGGAGTAACATCTTACTTATACCTAAACTAGGTCCTATGTAATGTGTGTCTAAGCTGGAAACACAAGAGCCAAATTCTTTTAATCTGAAGTAAATCACAATAATATATACCTTGAACAATCTTTTTATCTAAATGGATGTCGAAGTATGGAAATGCAAACTCAATTTAAAGGTCTCAATTTAAAAGGTTTAGTAACATCTCATTGTCATTGCAAGACAGCAATATGAAACCTGAGATATCAAAAGAAAAGTTATCTGGGTTGAAGAGACATACATTGCTACATGCTCCCATCAATGAGCTATACGATACAATTCCAAGATGTATTCCTTGAGTCTTGTTATCTTGTAAGATATGAAAAGCACAATCCAACTTTCCAGCATGTCCGGCAACATCTATTAGTGCACTAAGAAAAACCTGCGTGGGCCATACAATAAAAGGATTCCTTCATGTTGTGCAAGTAAAATGACACACCCAATGGAAAGACTGCAAAACTAATTGGAGGACATTGCTTCCCCAATCCTCTGATACACACACCCAAGACATCCTCAAAACCCCACAACAGTCCTAGATGTAACATTCTTCCACCAAAAAGAATCCTAATGGTAACACCAACAATTCAAATTACAGAAGAGTAAATATGCAACTTGAAAAATGACATTCAAAAACAAAGGTACCTCATCAGGAACAACTCCTTTCTTTTTCATGTCATTGTACACGCTACATGCAAACTCCCAATCACCAGTCTGGCTGCAACAATTTAAAGCAATTGTATATACCTCCGGACTTCCTTTAATGTTATATTCATGGATCATCTTGTATGTTTCTTTTGCTCGATCAACCTAAGACAATGATTATTCTCCATTATATAGGAAAAATATGAAAATTGATATCATAAAAAACATAGGAGAAAATAATACAAGCACCTGACCAGCATTGGAGCATGCCTTCATTAATGCACCAACAGTGATATGATCAGGATCTATAGGCTGTGTTTCAGCCATCATTTCTGCTAACACATCGAAAGCTCGATCCACTGCCCCTGACTCACCACATGCAGTTATAAGTGCATTAAATACAACTCTGTCTGGCTTCACATTCTACTGCATAAAACATCTAATCAGTGTAAAGATTTTTGAGATTGGAGTACAGCAATAACCAAATACACAACTAGAACTTTGCTTTGGATAATTATTGAGAAGAAATATTACAAGACTTGATTGATTGAAATAAATTATGATGAGTTGAAAAATTTTTCCGCATGCATACCTTAGCCCTCATAATTCCATAAGCACCAAAAGCCTTAGCCACTTGTCCTGCTCTGGCACAACCATCAATAAGTGCCCCATATGTGTGAACATTTGGTTCAACTCCAGAATTAACCATCTCATGGAAAACCTATGAGGACATGTTACACTTAGGATAATTATATGTCCATCCAAACCAAATTTAATATAAAAAGAAAATTACCAAAATCATTTAGCAATAAGTTCTCATTAAAATGAAAAACTGCTCTAATTTTTACCAGTTTTCTTTTATGCTCACTACAATGATCTTTTCCGAAGAAAAGAAAAGAAAAAAGTAGTTAAATTTCCTGTAAGAAAATGCTTTTATAGGAATAAAACTCAGAAAGAGGTATATAAAAATATCTACAACCGAATCA